CGAACCCGGAGGAGCCGTCGCCGTCCACCGGGCGACGGAGGAGTGTCGGGCCGTCCACCGAGGGCTATCCAGTGCCGCCGCCAGGCATCGTGGAAGAGTTTACCCAGCTGGTGGAGGGCCGAGCGGCAGTGTGTCTGGGAACCGGAACAAGATTTTTTTTTTCCTTCTCTGCCCTCTCTCGTCTCTGTCTCTCCTCATCCTTCTGTCTCCTTTTCTCTCGCCTCGTCTGTCTGTCCTTACCCCCAGGTACGCCGCGGCCGCCGTGATCGGCTCCCCCAGAGGGGGGGAGGTAGAGCGCAGTCTCGTGAGTACCACCCGGCCTGCGAGGGGCGATGGGGGTATGTGACGAGAGGGGCGGGGCCGAGAGCCGTGGGAACGGAGCGAGGCCGGTGGAGTAAATGCTAATGCCCAACACCTGCGCCACTCACCGGTCTCGAGTCCCACGGAGGAGCTCCGGAAGGATAAAAGGAGGAGTGACGACAGTGTTGGACGAGAGAGGACCAGGCCTGGACTTTATTTTGTGTTTTGGTTCTGTTTGTGCGCGACAGTCGTCCGCGAGGGGCTGTCGCGCTATTTTGTGTTTGTTTATTTTATTAAAGTTTTCTTTGAGCATTCGCCGGTTCCCTCCTCCTTCCTTCCACACTTTGAACCACGTTACACTATCCATATATCCGTGGATAGGGGATATATATCTGCTAAAATTACAAAAATATTTAATGGAATATTTGAAGAGTGTCAGACTCTGTTCCGAGTTTTGCCAGCTCCTTGAAAGTGCTTTGCTATGCCTGCTCTTCCAGAGCGCCCTCCAGTGCCAGCACCACGTAAGCGCTATCCTGATCCCCAGCTTAGCCCAGGAAGGGCTCCTGATCTCCAGCTCAGCCCAGGAAGGGCTCCTGATCCCCAGCTCAGCCCAGGAAGGGCTCCTGATCCTGAGTATAGCCCACGGAGGGCTCCTGATCCCGAGTTAAGCCCAGAAAGGGCTCCTGTTTCCCCGTTAAGCCCAGGGAGGGCTCCTGTTTCCACGGTATAGCCCACGGAGGGCTCCTGATCCCGAGTTAAGCCCAGGGAGGGCTCCTGTTTCCCTGTATAGCCCACGGAGGGCTCCTGAGTTAAGCCCAGGGAGGGCTCCTGTTTCCCCGTATAGCCCATGGCGGGCTCCTGATCCCGAGTTAAGCCCAGGGAGGGCTCCTGTTTCCCCGTTTAGCCCAGGGAGGGCTCCTGATCCCCCGTTAAGCCCAAGGAGGGCTCCAGGCCCCGAGTACAGCCCCGTAAATTTAGTATTTTTTTGGGGGGGGGAGTAGTAGGGCTCCAGTCGTAGAGGCCAAGGCGGGGGCTGGAGGATGCTGTTCCGCCATGGCCTCCCGAGTCCCCTGATCCGTCATGGCGCCCCGAACGGGTACCCACCCCCCCTCCCCATTGGATGTTATATGGCGTGACGTCATGCCTTCCGGAGCGGGGTGTTATGTTGAGCTTTGGTTGTTCACCCCCCCCCATGTGTTTCCTATGCCCATATTTGGTTAGTTTCCTGTTCCTGTCCTGATTATGTTGATTTAATCCCAGGTGTTTTCCGTGTAGTTTCCATTGAATCCAGGTGTGTCTAGTCCATAGTCCCACTTGTCTATGTATTTAAAGATTGTTCAGTTCCCTGTTTCTTTGTCCTGTATTGTTGATGTCTACTCCTTGTGCTACGTGTGATTCCCCGCCATATGAATAAATTATTTAAATTAATAAATTAAATTCCTTGGTTTAGTACTCCTGGTCTCCTCATTCCTCGCTCCGTGTTCCCGCACCGTAGCAACTCGTGACAAATAGTTAATTTGCAAAAACCGATAACTTTTCAGAAATCACGTTTTTTTTTATTGCGCATTCCAAGTAATATCAATCAAACTGCAGTTGGGTTGTTTTGATTAAGTAATAATAACTTAAACAACTACAGGTAATTTACAAAATTAAAGTTCATTGAAAGTATGTTTTTTTTTACATATTAAAAGTTTGTTTTATAGCAAAAGCAGATAACTCCAACAGTCGTTTTTTGGCAAACGCAGATAACTCCACATTTCATGTTTTAGAGTAAAAAAAAAACACTTTCTTTAATCTTTGTAATTTCCTCAGATGACAATGTAGATGCCTGACAAACGTTGTTGTTGTTGTGATCATAAACTGTATGGATGTGATTTACACGCAAGACACAGATCTTTTCCCACACCATTGTAACGCGCTGCTTTAGCAAGATTCCGTGAAAACGTTTCAGCTTTTATTTCCCTTTTTCGCCCTGAAGAAGATATCACAGGTTCATCAAGTTCATCGAAATTATCCATCCTCGATCACTTTTAGTCAGCTTTGACGAAACTCCTCTCAGCTAGCATGTCTTTTCAAAGTGAAAGTAGCCTTGTCATCTGACCTGAACACAGCGCGCTGATGCGCTAAAATGGACTTATCGGCTATTGTTCAAAAACAACAAGGGCGCTTGTCGGCTTCTGCAGTAAAACGTGAACTCGCGATGCCTTGAAAGTGGACAAAACCGGCTTTTTTGACAAAACGTGTTTAGGGTTCAGATGTGGAGAATAATGCACGGCAATCAGCTCATTTTTTTTAAAGTGGCTTTTATTAAAATATGTTTATTAACATTATTTTAAATAAAATGATTGCCATTAATTACTTGTCCTTGTTTCGTTTCAAATTTGCACGACTTTCATTTTTCTTTGGAATGCAAAAGAAGACATTTTGAATAATCTCCTGGTTGCTCTTTTTGTATTCAGTTTATTCAATTTATTCATGAACAATTTATTCAGAAAGGTTTTGTGAAACTGAAAGTTGTTGTGTTAACAATTGTGACAATGATCAGTTAACAGGATCAACTAAATGCTGGACCTTCAAAAGTATTGGCAGACTCAGTGCCACTGTTGTAGTAAACTTTTACAATGTTCTTGAATTAATTTAGTAGTTGTACGCTGGCCTGTTATTGTAGGGACATCAACTTTACATTTTCACCTTCCAAAATATGAGGCTGAATAAATCAAACTGTGATCGGCTGCTTTACATGTCTGTCAGATGGCCTCTTGGCTGGTCCCTGGACCCTGAATAGCTGGAATGGAGTCCAGAGCCTTCAGATCTGACTATGTGAGACTAGGGTTTAGGTAGATTTGTCAGTGAATAGCAACTTAAAATATTGGTCTGTTACAACACAAAGTATGATTTCAGAAGGTTTGGATGACTTTTATAACACATTTATGGTGACTTTGCATCTGAAGCTTAAAATTCTCAGTTGCCATTCACTGTAATTGGCACTTTTGAGTTAGTAAAAAAAGCTATATTTATTCTGATTTATTTTATTACCTATGTACATGTGTTAGATTTTATGTTGTTTAGTTAATTTAAAAATGTGTAGCCTAGTAAAAAAGTAATATATTTAAAATACATTTATTTCATACTAAGTATAGTTCAAATCTATTTACATACTTGCATTTACTGACACATTTCTTGAGACTTACTGATATAAAAACTTACAATTAAACTTTATTTGGAGTAATACTTGTGCACAATGCACAATATTAGGCCTAAAATGTGTTTTAATATCACTATCGATGAGGTTTGTATGATCTTTGAATAATATCTCTCTTTAAATGCAAGATATTTAAAGTGTACCTACAGTTTACTTGCAATAGTTCCAGTTTAACACAATCAAATATACTCCAGTATATCTTTAATTGAACTTCAACACTACTTCTGCACAATTAAAGTGCATTAAGTACAAAATTAGTTGTTCCAATTTAGCAGACTTTAAGCATACCAGTTTAGTATACTAAAAGTACAATTGCAGAGTATTTTTATTAAGCACATACAAATGTAAATGTATTTGTAGTATATACTTAGCATGAAATAAATGTATTTCAAATACATTTGAGTATATTTATTTTTCACTAGAGAATACGTTTGTGGTTTATGTTAAGGCCGATTTTTATAAACTCATCGCCATCATGTGACCATACGTATTATTATAATGAACATCAATATATTTAGTACAAAGCAGATTTAAGTACTTCCTATGGGTTGGCAAATTAAGATATATATAGCCTACTGTCATTAACTGCAAAATATACAGGCACCAAATGCTGTCAATTTCTGGCATCCACAGCTGCCAGATTTTTTTTTAATTTTTTTAACACAACACAGAAACACACATTTAGTGGAGACTATGAAAGTGTGTGTTACATGGAGTGAACAACATGCACACACACATGTGCAAGGACACCCACATACACAAACAAACACAAATGAGCTCAGACACAACAGTATATGCTGTAAACACACACATATACACAACAAGAGCTAGTCTGCAACTTTCCCCTTATTATTAAAATATGAGCAATAAGATTAGTGCATTTATTTAGATTTTTTATTAATAAAATCTAGGCAATATTAAGATATAATATTAAGTAATTTTAAATACTATTAGAACATTCAGAAAATATTTTTCTCTGCTCTTAAAAGCAATAAATCCAGCCTGTTGTCTTTTATAGACTTACTGCATTAGCTACTCTACTGCATTCTCAGCTGGATGCATGTCAGCCAATGAAATTGCACTAAATCACAGGGGGCTGATGGGATTTGTAGTTTATTGATTTCTGGCTAATCCTTTGCCATTCATCAAAAAGGACACAGAACGTATAATGAAATCTTAATAACCGTTGATGGGAGATTATTCCTAAAATAAAAGCCTGTTGTAATGAAATGATGTAAGAATCATTTGTTTTGAGAAGAAATTAAAATATATGCAGCACAAATAACCACATCAGCAATGCATGAATTAGTGCATGAATCAGTGCATGTATGCTTGAGCATATGTACGTGTTTGTGCCTGTGGCTAGTTGAGCTAGAAGCAAATTGCAAAAACATACAAGACAAAATAATCAAGAGAAATAATGGCACACATTACAACCGCCCCCCAAAAAAGAGTCTGAAAAACAAGACAAAAAGGGAAAAACATGCAAGAAAAATACCTTCGTCCCTCGGTCTGTTCATCGAAGACTCATCGTGTTTTTTTGTGAGCGGACCTGGGGTTAAGACAAAAAGGGGGGGAAAGAGAAAAGACAAAATTCAAAAAGATTTTACTGCGCTTAAACAAAAAGAGCAAAAAATTCCAAAACAGCAAAACAAAACAAAAAAAAAACTAGCAAGAGATCATGTGTTCCAATTTAAAAGAAGAATAAAAAACAGCAGCCAAAGCAGACGAGCAAAACAGACAACAAACTCATAGAAAGAGAAAGGGAGAGAGAGGAACTGATGGTGGTGTGACACTTGCTAACATCCCTACTAGCAGCTACGATGTTTTCACTTTTCTTTCTCAGTTTTCCCTTCCACACTCATTCGTTATATGCCAGGCTTTCAATGACAAATGTCCAGCCCTCTTTCTTTGTGCCCAGAGAGAGAAAGTGATGAGACATGTGGAAACACTGTAGCAAAGCTGCGTTTAGTGCAACGGCCCTCAGGAGTCCTCCGACTTAATGTCCTGTGGGACAATAACTCACCCTCACAGGATAAGACTGCTGAAACTCTGATTTCTCTTTTCCTGTCTTACAAACAAACAAATACACAAACGTCTTGTGTAATGCTCTTAAGAAAGCATCTGAAAAGGACATACATTTACAGCTATAAATGAACATTTTATCCATTCAAATTTACAAACAATATCAGTATCTTGAGCAAAGTGGAATTTGAAGCAAAATCAGGTTTACTGTCTTTTTTCACATTGCAGAGCAATAGACAAAAACAAAAAGTGGAATACATTCGAAATGTGAAAAATGACAACAAACTCGACTATGACTCCTTTCTATCCTTTTGTTCAGCAACAAAAGTAACCATGGTAGTCATAGATTTCACCAAATTAATATTACAAGAAGTATTTATTATATATTATATACTTTATAATATACTATATATTTTGTATAGATAATACTAATGCATGATACAACCTGGTTTTTAGATGTTACCATTAGTATTGTTAAAGTAAAATTATTAAAAAATTATTTGCAGTAATTGAAACAAAGAAGTAAAAGAAATAAAAAATAATTAAAATTATATCATAATATAAAAAACATGAAACATTAATACATAACAAAAATACACCAAACATAACAAAATTAGTACAAATATAAAAAAATAAATAAATACAATTATTCATTTTTATTATTTTTTAATTACTAAACACACACACACAAAAAAATCCAAATATTATCAAATGGTATTATATAATATAAATACCACAATATACTGGTTATATAAATATAACAAAATTTCAGATGATTATTATGGTATTACTATGGTATTCTTAGTTTGTAGTGATTTGAAATACCACATTAAAAGCCTGGTACAGTGCATGATATTCTAATCATACCCTCACAAAACAGCCACATTTTTATAAACAACTTTATTGAAACAATAACTGTTGTAACTATGACATTGTGTAAACTATAGTTAGCATGTACTATACTAATAGCTATACTATTGTGCGTCAGGTGCTGAATGATACTGTATTGAAAGTCAGGTCTGATGTAAAAGTCTGAATGCCACACAAAAGTCATTCACCCCACTGAAACAGCCTAGCATTTATGAGTTTGTATTGCAACAGTAGCGTTCTGTCACGGGCTTCTTCAGGACTGGAGCTGAGGATCTGGTGCAGTGAGACACATTAGCATCTGTCGCTAACTGAGGTTAAATGCTAAATGTTTGTGTGGCGACAGCCATTAATGGGTATTATCAGTATGACCCCTTACCCCCACTCTCAGTACTGGCGGTGGGCCTGTAAGAGACGAGATAGAAATCGTCTCCATTTATTTACCGTTTATCTTCTTCACAGGCTCTCCACACCAATAGACCACACACACACACACACACACACACAAACACAAACCTCATTTGTCATTGCTGTGCATATAATTCTCACCCAGTCTGTCCAACACACATATAATGCACATACATACAGCAAGACTGTATTCTCATAACTGACTTCAAATGCTCTTCACCTGATTTTTTTCTTTAAGCACATATACATTGACAATTACATTTTAAGGGAAAGTGTCATATTTTCAGTGTAGTAATCATCGTTCCTAACCCAAGTTAATACTGCAGAAATGAGTAAAATCACGGCATTAGTAGGTTGATTTTTTGTGCAGAGTCAAAGTACAACAACTTACATATTATATAGTATGACGAAAGGAGTATTTCAAATGATCTGTTTGTTTGAGCTTAAATTTTCACAGGCTCTCCACACCAATAGACCACACACACACACACACACACAAACACAAACCCCATTTGTCATTGCTGTGCATATAATTCTCACCCAGTCTGTCCAACACACATATAATGCACATATATACAGCAAGACTGTATTCTCATAACTGACTTCAAATGCTCTTCACCTGATTTTTTTCTTTAAGCACATATACATTGACAATTACATTTTAAGGGAAAGTGTCATATTTTCAGTGTAGTAATCATCGTTCCTAACCCAAGTTAATACTGCAGAAATGAGTAAAATCACGGCATTAGTAGGTTGATTTTTTGTGCAGAGTCAAAGTACAACAACTTACATATTATATAGTATGACGAAAGGAGTATTTCAAATGATCTGTTTGTTTGAGCTTAAATTCTGAAGCTTGAAGCTTTGACACTGCATGATTTCGGATGTAGTCTGCTTGAGTATCCAGACCAGCCCAACACAGAAATTCTGGCTTAAAAAATAGCATAACAGTTAGTTTCCAGTAGTAAAAATCCACTTCATTTTCACCATAGGGGAATTGATTTTTAAAAATAACTTATAAACCTTTAAAAACAGACATACTGTGAGCTGCGAGGTTGTTAATCGATGGAATACTCTTTTGTTGATGTTATCAGTCCACATTATTTTAAGTTACTTTTTAAATAGTCATGTTTTATAGCAGAATTACTGGTAAAAACTACATTACCCATGATTCTGCAGAAAAACATGTATCAATATTTCTTGAATCTCACACTAGTTTTCCAATAAACACAATAAATGCAATCATATAGATCCATATTTACCCATCGTTTTTAATTCAATTATATGATGCTTCATGGAAGTGTAGTTCTTTACCACAATAAAGTACTCGGCCTTGTAGCTCTGAAGTTTGTCATGTGATTCACCTCATAGCTTGTTGGTTTGCTTAATGGCTTTTAATTGTTAAACAAAGACTTTATAATTTTTTAAAAATATCTATGGGAAAAATACTTCCGGAAACAAAGTTCAATGAAAAAGTGGACAGCCATTGTTGCACTCTATTGTGTGAGTTTGGGGTGGGACTGTCGGGCTTCTATCGGACCAATAATAAAAAAAAGACACAACAAGCATTTGTGAAACAGTTTTACAACTTTGTGCCTCTAGTGGCACCTAACATATACAAATTACATACTTCACCTTTAAGTACACTGAAAAAATAGTTTCTGTAAGTTAAATAAACTTTATTCAGACACATGCTCATTCCTCATATAGTTGAGTGTGTGCACCTTCTCACATGTTCCTCTGAGCTGAATCTCCTGAGTTGCACTTAAGCTTTGAGACTCGATCAATGCTGACGTGATTTTCAGTTCAATTCACCATCTCAGGTCAGTTCTTCCAGTAAAGGCTGGAGAGCAGGAGACAGGTTGATGGGAGTATGGAACGAGCGCGTGTGTGTGTGATTAAGTCTCAGCAACTTCAGCACTTTATCGACACTTAAAGCATTTGGAGATCAAGCTTTCACTATTTTACTGGTTCCTGCTTCCGACTATATGGTCTACAGCCTCCATTAGGGCTTAGGCTTTTCCCAGAAACCTAATCCTGCTGGCCTTTGAAGACGATGCACCAGCTTTAAAACTAAGGCCAAGAATACCCCTCTAAGTGAAAGAAGACACGAGAGATGCCGTTGGTGTGGAGGTAGAGCGGAAAGCATGATAATGAAGACTTAAAATGGAGGAAAGATCATTTACGTGGGACGAGCCTTGGGTGGTACGTGGGCTGGTGAGCGCCTGGTGCGGTGACAGTCGGAAAGGAAAAACCAGGCTCTATGAATGTGGCGTTACTCCCAGTCTGAGAGATGGCAGTGTGCATCTTGAGCCACCGAACAGTTTGTGCAGTAAACACTTTCTTTCCTGAGAAAGTGTGTGTGAGCGAGTGTGTATTTGGTATTTTTTGACAGGAGTGCGTGACAGGAAACCCGGCAGTACGCCATCCCAGTGTAACCAGCAGGTTTGTCCTCCCTGACAGGCTTGCCGTGTAGAGACGTCTTCAGTATATTCTCTCTGTCTCTCTTTCGGCTTTTTTTTAATCTCTCTGTCTCCCTCTCACTGTCTGCAAGGGGAGCAGACCTAGAAAAACAGTACATGAAAGCAATTTGCCTTGAAGGGCTGATGTCATGTGCTCAATATATATCTGCCCTCCATTAAAGACTCTAGATGAGCCATTAAACAATAGCTACAGCAGTTTCTTTATTTCTGTTTTGTATTAACTCTTACACTGTGTCCTAACCAGACATGACATGTCCAGTTTCCAGCGGCTGTATTTTCTCTGTCCACTCTTAAAGCAAAATACTGTGCAGTCTTGGTCAATCAAAGCACGTTTGATGTTTAATATTCAGATATGTCTAGCAAAATTTGATCAGTGAGATTTTGATGTGGGCGGGGCTTATGAGCACAACACTACGGAATTACAAACCACATGACCAATGAAATGTCTTGTTGCACTAGTGGCTGGATATAATACAGTAACTAACACAGTGTCCTAACCAGGCGTGACACATCAAGCCTTCAGGAAGTAATTTGTCTAGACACCTTCAAAATTAAATTGATGCGTGACATGCTAATCACGTTATTATTTTCCCAAACCGGTTAAGCGCAAATTGTGGGACTATGGAGGGTGTCAGGGACACTAAACATCATCACGTCAAACAGGAAAACTCATCTACTCACTAGTCCGAGTTTACAGCCTCTTTGTGTTTATAAAAACACAAAGCTTAATAATATTTTTATAAAAAGTAAAAGCTTAATAATAGTGACA